GCTAGACTGATAAGCAGCGCACTGGTCTCACTTCTACTGTTCCAGATAATTTAGGTAGAAGATTAACAGCACTTTTGCAAAAGCAAGGCAGATTTTCTATCTGTAATCTTATGTGTCTCCATTGATCAGTGTTGTGGAGGAAGAATCCAGACTAAGCAACTGTCGTAGTTGAATCTGTGAGGTTCCCTTCTGTGCTTCTCTAATGTCAATTTTGGCTAGTTGTAGTCTACCACAAGGTATTCTAGTCCTAAAGTGTTGACTTCTTAATGCCTGTTGGTAATATCTTCATGAATATTTCAATTGATTGCCTAAGATTTTTAATAATATTTTCCAACTATTTTAAAGATGCTTCAGTGCTCTGGATTTAGTGGTATTTCCAAGCCTTGTTTGACTATGAATATATTACAGTTGTGAAACGTAGTTCTCCTTGTCAAGTCGATAGCTGAAAACTTTTCCTTTGAATAGAAGTACAGCATCTAAATAGGGATGAAGAGAAACTACTTTAGCAAACCCCCAGGTAGGCAAAATTTAATCACCTCGCACAGTGAGCTTTTTTAAAAAAAAAAATTGGCAGAGGATGCATGTGTTTGACGGAGAGAGAGAGAGAGGGAGAAACCACCCCCAGTGGGACATGGTCACACCACAGGCCCTTCTGGTCTTTATGTCCATCCTGCTGGGACTTTGGGCACATATACACGTGCACCCACTGTGCTGTTTAAGCCCTGTGAGATCCAGCTCCTTAATCACTACACCACCAGACCGGCCCTATTGCAGTGAATTTCAGAACTGAAAATGTTCTCAACAAACAGATTCTGCTGGAAATAAGACTTTAAGATTTGAAAATTAAGCATTTGCTTTTTGAAGCAGTAGCCTTGAGTTTTCGTAGTAAGTGAAATATCTCTTACCTCTGTTTTGTGCTTATCAAAATGTAGTCAAACAGTGGGTAACATGTATTAACATTAGCTTTAAATTTTCTGAGCAGAGCTAACTTTACTAGCAGCTGTGTAAAGTGTACGTTGGGCTGCTTTTGTGTTGAAATCAATATGTTTAGGATGTTTTTTATGTGTAGGTATACTTTTATTGAAAATGAAGTTCTGATTATTTTTTATTACTAGACCTTAAAGGAGCTTAGGATTAAAATCACTGACTTTAGGGGCTGGCAGGTGGCATGGTGATTAAGGTGCTAGACTTCCATATATTCAACCGCTATTCAAGTCCCGGACCTGGAGACTTGCTTTCATGCTTTCTTTTTCTCTCTCTGGTCAAATTTTTAAAATAATAATATTTCAAATGGAATTGAATAAATATTTTTTTTAAAAGTCACTGACTTTGGGACCAGCAGTTAGCATAATGGCTATGTCGCTGGACTCCCACGTAGTCAACCATGGTTCGCGTCCCGGACCCAGTGGCTTAAACTCACGCTGAGCGCATGTGCGTGCGTTCCCAAGATCCCGAGAGGAGGATGGAAGAGAAGAGATTGCGGCGTGGCCATCCCCCATGTGGAGTGATTTCTCGCTTTCTGTCTCTCTGTCTCTCTCTGTCCGGCGAGCGCACGCGCCCTATGCGAGCGCCCGCCGCCTATAGCGAAAACCTCGCCAAAAAAAAAAAAAAGAAAAGAAACTGTACCAAAAAGTCACTGACTTTAATTTAGCAATTGGAATTTAACTTAAATTAACAGTACTTACAAAGCATTTGAAGGATATTTTTTGACATTATCAATTTTAAAGTAACTTTATATTCATATAAATATAAATATATGAATATAAATATAAATGTATACCATTTTGTTAATTATATGCAGATTGGATTTATCCTTTTTGTATTATAAATTTTCATATAAATAAATAGGATAAAATTGAGACCTTTTGACATATTAAAGTTATTCTCATCCCAAAGACTTAAAAATAAAACTTGTTATGGACCAGTCATGGTGTGGTGGTTAAGGTGGCTGGATCTGGAGCCAGCAGGTGGCATTAGTGGTTAAACTGCAGTTCAAGTCCTGGACCCAGTGGCTTCAAACTCATGATGAGTGCATGTGCATGGGTGCCCAAGATTCCAAGAGAAAAAGGGATTGTGGTATGGCCATCCCTCCTAGTGGGTGATTTCTTGCTTTCTGACTCTCTGGTAAGTGCACATGCCCCATGGCAAAAAATCTCCTTAAAAAAATAAATGAGAAGGTGGATGGGACTCAAATGGCCAGCTGCGCCATCCCAGACCTGTCAGGTTGAAAAACATGCTGGGCACATGTGCGAGTGTGCCCAGAAATACCAAGAGGAGATTGGAGGAAAAGGGATTCTCATATTGGCCATCTTCCCTTTGGGGGTGAGGGGGGCAGGAAATGTAGGTTTTTCACTTTGTCTGTCTGTCTCTCTTTACAGTAAGTTCATACACTCTATAGCAAAATATTAAAAACAAAACAGAAATACCTATCACAATAAAGAAATGAGACCTGCTCACAGGTCAACCTAAAAGTATTATAAGATAATTATTTCTGTCAGTAAAGTGTTAAGTATTGAGCATCCTGTACTTAATGGATTCCTACTTACTTTCTTTTGGTATTGGGAATCTGTTACCTGGGCTTATATAGCAGAGCAGTGGCAGTACCTTTTGTTTATAAAAGCTTGTTTATCACATTTTGTTGATATATGGTAAGTGAGATTTAATGGTTCATTTATACTTAAATCTAGATGCATTGATAGTGTATTTTAGAAGGTAGAATGTATGATACCATAGTCCATTAATTCTGAGATACTTATTGTCACACTTTAACAGCTCTGAAATTAAATGTGTCTTAAAATTGATCTTGTGGTATGGTTAATGGAGGAATTTTTCTCACTTGGTAGTATATAAAACTAATAGTGCATTTTATAATCATTTGTCTTAGATAAAAAAGTAGTGGTTGGGTTTTTGAGGTTTTTATGTAGAACTTAAATCACATAATTCTTCATTATAATGTTGTGGTAAAGAAAAGATCTACATGGTAGAAACACACCTTATTTGGAATATAGGCCTTTGTTTAGATTTTTTTTTTTTTTCTTTTTTAGTGTTTCCTTCAGATTATTTTCTTCTTGTTCTCAGTTGTGTCATCCTAGTTAGGTGTTTTATGCTAAACTGGTTCCCCGACTGAATCTTCCACTGAAGGATCTTGAGAACTATAAGAGAAAATGGATATAAAGAGAAGGAGAAAAGGCTTATGGTCTGAATTAGGGTGAGGTGGAGTGGAAATAGTTGGTGGAACCTCCCAGGGTCCAAAAAAAAGGGGTGGGGGGAAGGAATTTACAGGAGGTGCTAGTAAATGGCATGTTCCATTTATCCAGCTTTGTTTGGCTAGGAAGTCTTTCCCTTCTTAAGTCCGTGATTGTAATTTATGAGCTTTTGAACTACCCAGTAGTTAGCTGAAATCACCTCCACTGTGTCGCCTAGACTGAAACAACATAAGCCCTCTTGCTGAGACCCTCCTTTGTTCTGCAGAAGTTGCCCTGTTACCTTTCTGGCCTTAGGAGTAAATTATCTGCTGGGACCTTCTTTCAGTTTCCACTTTTACAGTTTGTGTTTCCTCTTCCTCTCAAAAGTGAGTAATTAAAGGGGAAACCACTTAGGAGATGACTTTTTCTACAAGGAACTGTTACAGATGGATACACAGTTGAATTTGTTAACTTTTATGAGAGGTATGGACATACCAAATACTTAAGTTTCTAACATTTCCCTACCTTTCCTGTCTGTTAGCATTTAGGTAGAAATTAGTGCAGTCTTCCTTATTTAGCTTCCTTAATTTTTAGTCCAAAAGAAATCATTTATAGTATAAATTCATACTGCATGTTTCTGCTTTAGCTTTTCATTCTGTAAACTTACTAAGAATGTGCTCTTGGAGCCCGCAGGTTGCATGGTGGTTATGGCACTAGATTCCCACATGGCTGACTGTAGTTCAAGTCTCAGACCTGGTATCTTGAAAATCATGCTGAGCATGTGTGCACGTGTGTCCGTCCAAGAGGGTAATGGAGGAAAAAGGGATTGCAGCATGGCCATCTCCCGTAGGGGGTGATTTCTCACTTTGTCTGTCTCTCTGGTGAGCACACATGCCCTAAAGCAAAAATCTCTCTCTTAAAAAAACAAAAAACAAAACAAGAATGTATACTCTTGAATAATCTTTCCATACATTTCAGTAATAGTTTTTGTTATTCCACATTTAAAAAGAGTCACAAAGCATATGTGGCTAACATTATTTAGACAAACCCATTTATTCATTCATTCATTATTTTGTCAGAGAGACAAACCCATGGGGAGTGGTCATGCTACACACCCTTCTCCTCCATGTCTCCATCCTGTTGAGATTTTGGGCATGCACACAAACCCTTTCCTCATGTTTCTCAAGCCACTGGGTCCAGGACTTGAACCACAGGATCAGCCATGTGGGATCTCACTGCTCAGGCCACTTAGGGCATGGAACTGACCTGACATGATCCTTTTTGAAATTTATAATTTAACATTAAAATATAACTGAATTAAAATTTCAGTATAAAACATAAATTAAGACTTTTTTCCAAAGGTGGTGGACACCTTTACATTATAAAGGGGTTTTACCACATGATTTGAAGTACTTTAAACGTACCATGGACTTTTTTGTTTGGTTTTTAGGATTTTGTCATAGGGTACATATGCTTGCTGGAGAGAGAGAGGGAAAGTGAAAAATCACCCCTTGGGGGGATAGCCATGCCACAATCCTTTCTCCTCCATTGTCCTTTTGTGATTTGGGGGCATGCACTGTTTTTACCTATTCTAATGTGCAATAAAATGAAAATGGAATTTGAGACATTATATAAGTAAAGTTAAACATTATGCATTTATTAATAATATTTCTAATACAGATGCTAAGTTTTGTGTATTTCTAACAAAAATAAAATGCCAGGTACGGTGAGATCAGTATAAATTAGCATTAACTTAATTCTTTTTTAATTTGACAGATAATTTTATTGTTCTGAATTCATTTTCTCTTTCTTCAGAGGATGTACTGAGTAAAGATGCTGGGGAATGTGCAATATGCCTTGAAGAATTGCAGCAGGGAGATACTATAGCACGACTGCCTTGTCTATGCATATATCATAAAGGGTAAGTGTATTTTCATGTTAACCAAGTTGACAGTAAAGTTGTTCTCACCATTCAAATGTTACAGTTAGGACTGACAAGTTCCTTCTTCACTCAAACTGCCCCTCTCTGAAAAGAATAAGAGCCCTTTTTTTCCTGCTAGAACTAAGAATTGAATTCAAATCTATTAAAAGGCTACCATATTTTAAGCATGACTCGGGTATATTCTTAAGTAGGTTATCTCACGTAAGCCTTGTAAGCCTCATTTTACAAGTGAAGAAATAATAAGCTCATAAGAGCCCTTTTTTTCCTGCTAGAACTAAGAATTGAATTCAAATCTATTAAAAGGCTACCATATTTTAAGCATGACTCGGGTATATTCTTAAGTAGGTTATTTCACGTAAGCCTTGTAATAGCCTCATTTTACAAGTGAAGAAATAAGCTCAGGTACAATGGGGAATCTCTCCAAGTTACACGGTACAGTAGGGAATGTCTCCAAGGTTACATGGCTAGTAAATGGCAAGAACTAAGATTCCAACAGATTTGGAATCTGTTAGACTTCAAAGCCCACCTGGGTCCTCATGGTCTTCTTGCTTTTTCAGAGCAGTACAAGAGGATCTTTTGTTTTCTTTTTAAAAGCAAAACAAAACAAAACTACATAAGGTAACAAAAAGAAGAGAAAATTGGAACTTTAAAATCAATGAAAAGTGAACTAGCCTGTGGTGGTAGTTAAAGCAGCTGGATCTCATGTAGCTAACTGAATGATTTGAGTCCCACCTCACAAAGCCAACTGAAAGATTTGCGTCCTGTCTCACATAGCCAACTGAATGATTTGAGTCCCATACTCAAGGGCTTAAACCACAGGTGTATGTGTGCATACATGCCCAGAATCCCAAAAGGAGGACGAGATGGGTAAGAAGGGATTGCAGTGTGACCATGCCCCATGGTGGGGGAAGGTACTTTCTCTCTCTGTGTCTCTCTCCAATGAGCATATTTATCCTCTGACAAATGTTTGAAAGATTAATGAAACGAATAAGACAGAATTTTACTTAAAAGCCAGTAGAGTAGAAAATAATAAATAGTACAAAGTAAGGAGCTAAAAGTAAATTTAAATATATGTATAATTATAATCTATATTAAACTAAAAACAGATTGCAAGGTTGTGATACATTGTTGATAAACAACATGCTCAAATATTGGGTTGTCGAAAAGTGATGAATTATTTTTCTATGCAAAAATGCATCATGACTTTTCCAACACCCAATATAAGGGTATATACAAAAGTAAAGGACAGAAAACTACTGAGGCAACTGCTAAAAGAAAATTGACACAGCTATGCATTACAGCCAAAAGCATTATTCAGGATTAATAGAATCACTATATCATTACAGAAAGTATATAAAATCCTATTTTTTGTATACCTAATAGCAGTCTCGAAATAAAACATTTATAAAACTGTCAGAAGAAACTGACAGATTATCATATTGGGAAATTGCAACATACCATTCAAGTAAAGCAGACACATAAAAAATGAGTAAAGATTTAGAAAAATTGAGCAACTTAGTTAACACGTTCGTTCTATTGGGGGTGTGTATGTGTATTTATGTACCTGCCCAGCAGTTTGAGAATACATTTTCTTCACAAGCACACACGGAATATTATAAAAATTGATTATGTCCTAGATCATAGAGCAAGCTACGAAGAATTGGTATTATATAGAATGCTGTTCTCTGACCACTATTAGATGTCAGTAATAAGAAGACAAGTAATATCCACATATACTTCAGAGAGACTTGTGGATCAAAGAAGTCATAATGGAATGTAGAGAATACTCAGAACTGAACAATAATGAAAAAAGTTTGACATGTACCTAAAGTGATCCTTAGAGGGTTCATGTAAGAGTGGAAAGAAAGGCTGGAAATCATTAAGCCAAATTTACATAAATTAAGGAGGGCTGTCCACATAGCCTAGTGGATCAGGGAGCCAGATACCATGTGGCTGACCATGGTTCTAATCCCAGCCCCTGCAGCTTGAAAACAGACACCAGGAGTATGTGCATGTACTTGAATGCTCAAAATCCTGAAAGGATGGAGAAGGGATTGAGATGTGGCTACGCCCCATGGGGGGATTTGCTTGCTTTCTTTCTCTCGCTGGAGAGTACATGTGCTCTCTAAAACTTAAAACAAAGAAGAAATCAGAGAAATAACAGCAGAAGAAACACACAGAAAATAGAACAAAGTAAAGATCAGCGAATAAAGTAGTGGAAAAATTTTAATGACATGGTAGAAACTGACAAAGCCAAGAAATTGGTGCTTTGAAAAGACTGAAATCAGGATTACCTCTAGAAGAAAAAATAAAATAGAAGAATGAAAAGATATAAGAGTTCAGGCAGCAGAAATTAAAGTAATTGGAAAAATCTGTGAAAATGTTATACCCTTGAATTTAACAATGTAAACAAAATTAATAATTTCCTTAAAAATGTGATTTTATCCAAAAGGGACAAAAAAGTGATAGAAAACAACTAATCACTGTTATAAGTAGTTATTAAAACTAATCCTGCAAAACAACAAACATTAGAAGAAAAAAATGAAAAGAAAGTCCTTATAATAGACCTACAGAGACACTGTGACAGTGAGCTCTACCAGATACCCCAAAAGTACCAATTAATTTAAATTCTTCCAAAAATAAGAAAAAGATGGAAGGCTTCCCCCTTTAGTTTATGATAATAGTGTTGAAGGGTCTTCAAAAAGGTAGGACAGATGTGTATTATAGAAAAACTAATAGATTTCAAATTTTTTTTGCACCAGAATTAAATGTATACTAATTTGTAGCATGTTTTGCTTCATCAATAAAAGTGTATATACTAACATAGCAAGCCATGGAAGAATCCAGCATTATGAAGATACCCATCATTCCATGTTCTTACTCTTCATGCAGGCTTTATCTTGGAAGCATTTTTTTTCCACAGTTCTCCTCATATTTAGGTTTGGTTTTTGTCCCCATAGCCCAGCAGTCTCAGTTCTTCCTTAATCCTCTTTCTGTGTAGCTTAGTTCATCTTTTTTATTTCACATCCTATACTTACAGTAGTATTTTATTGGTTAGAAATGAGCATATCTTAATTCTGTTTATTTACAAAATTGTGTTAGTGGAGTTGGTCTATTTTTTTTTTTTTTTAAAGAATTATTTGGGAACCAGCAGTTGGCATAATGGTTATGTTTCTGGACTCCCACATAGTCTACTGCAGTTCAAGTCCCAGACCCAGCGGCTTAAAACTCACACCAGGAACTTGTGTGTGCAGGTCCAAGATCCTGAGAAAACAGAGGAAAAGGGATTGTGGTGTGGCCATCCCCCATGGGGGGCATTAATTCTTGCTGTCTTTCTGTCTCTCTCACCAGCACATGTGTCCTATAGCAAAAACCTCACACACACACAAACACACACAAAAGTATATTTTATTTTATTTATTATTATTGAGTCATCGGAAAAGTCCTAACATATTTTTCTATGTTTTTCTGTGCAAAAATGTATCCCCAGAGAAAGAAAAGGGGAGGAAGAGAAAGGGAGAAAGCAAGCCAACAGATCTGGGACTCAAACTATGGTCAGTCATGTGGGAGTCCAGTGTCTTAGCCACTAGTGCCTTAACTGCTTGACCCTGAGTGATCTGCTTTTAATCTGATTTTTCCCATAATCCTTGTTACTTTTAGTTTACAATTTTGTGGAAAGCAGGGTTTACCAAAAACGTTTATTTTATTACAATTCAAATACCTGGCAAACAGCTTCCTATAAACCTATGTGGAAAAGACATTAGAGAACAGAAAATTTAGTAAAACTTGTTAACTGTCGTTCAAAGCAAATGAGCTCCAAATGGCCAGTAAGTATGCAAAGATAATCGGTGTAGTTGTATAACTGTGGTAGCTGTGAATAGATATATCTACTGTAAGTCAGTAATTCCATCCCGAGGCATATGTCCTAGAGAAATTCTTCATCTCGCTCTAGGGCAGTGCTGCCACCTAGAGTGGAGGGCCAGAGGGGATAAAGTTCTTGTGCAGAATGTAACCAGCAAAACGGTGTCAGTCAGAACGGTGTGATTAGTGATGAAATTAATTTATAATCTGCTTCAAGCCCCTTATCTCAAAGAATGTTTATAGCATCATTGAAGATGTTTACTAGTAAAAAAAAAAAGAAGAGATAAATTCTGCTATTCTTGCATAATGGAATATATGCACAGTGAAAATTTTAAAATGAGAGCCTTACTAACAGTTAACAATCTCGAATTGAACCAAAGTAGCAAATTAGAAAAAGCATTTATGAAAAAAGCAAGTTGGAAAAGCATAATGCTATTTATAGTAGCATTTATGTAAAATTTTAAACATGACAAAAATACTACATGTTGTTTTAGAATACATACAGATAGAGTTAAAAAGTAAGAAAATATCGCAAAATAAAAAGCACCAAATTCACGCTAATGATTTCTTGCTTGGGTTGGGAGAAGAGAATACAGTGTTTTAAATAACCATTGAAAATAATTTCAAACAGAATATTTGTGGATTGATAGCAATTTATATGAAATAGACGTAGGGTTTTAAATAATTACTTTCTCATCATGAGCTAAAATTACTTGTTTATAAAATAAGAAGTACCCAGTTTAGATTACGTAGCAAGGTACTATCGAGATTTACTGTGAATTGTTAATACATCTGGAGTATTTTATTAAATTTTTAGTATTTTTTTTAAGAGGGATTCTGGTAGACCCATGAGACTTCTAGAGCCACATGGCAAGAGTAAGCTGATAATAGTATCCTGAGCCAAACTAAGGATTTATTTAGAGATTAAAAATCTTGGGACCAGCAGTTAGCGTAATGGCTATGTCACTGGACTCCCATGTAGTCAACCGCGGTTTGCGTCCCAGACCCAGTGGCTTAAAACTCACTCCAGGCGCGTGTGCGTGCATGCCCAAGATCCCGAGAGGAGAATGGAGGAGAAGGGATTGAAGCATGACCATACCCCCTGGGGCATGATTTCTCGCTTTCTGTCTCACTGTCTGTTTCTGTTTGTCTGGCAAGCGCACGTGCCCTGTAGCAAAAACCTCCAAAAAAAAAATCTTAATGACAGCAGTAATTGTTTCAGATATTTGATAAAATGTGGATGAGGTACTTTACCTTTTTTCTTTGTAATTTCACTTGTCAAACTAACTGTCAGGATATGAGAGTAATACTAATTTTGCCCTTCAATATATTAGCCAAGTTTTATAGCTTTGCAGCATATGCAAATTTGCCGTGTTACTAGTGAAAATATTGAACAGTTTGAATTGTGCTCGGGAGGCTCAGTAGCTGCTAGGCTAGTTATTTAACCTTTTAAGATCTTCATTTTATCATTTATCACAATACTGTGAAATAAAACTTTTCTACTGCTACCTGCGATAGAAGTGTTATATCTGTGTCCTCCAGTAGAGAGTCGTGTTATGGTTGAGCCCTGGAAATGTGGCTAGTGTGGCCACGAAACAGGTGTTTTTCTTTTACTTAATCTTAATGGGTTTAAATAACTACTTGTGGCTTTTGGCTACTGCACTGGACAATGCACAACTACAATGGAGATAACTAAAATTATATGTAACCTGATATTTAACTCTTTGGTGAAATATCATGAAATACTTTGTAAATGCAAGCAGATATTGGTATATTTGTGTGTGTGTGTATATATATATATATATATACATATATATATATATATAGTGCAGCATACGACAGAGTTAAAATAAATATTCAATAATCACATATAGGTATGGACTTTTAAAATGTGCTTTAATATTGTCAAGATTCAAATTTAAAAGCTGCTTTTTTATTATTACATTAACAGATGACATGAACATGTTGATATGTGTGAAATAAGTAATTTTTTGAAAAGAGAAATACCAAAATTTGTCACGTAATTTCTAATATTGGATAAGTGGTAGTTCTTTAGATTGTCTCTTGAGAGTAGGCAATCTGTTTGAACTATGCACTACCGTATAGCATAGTTTCACAAAGGCTTTTTTCCTTAACGGTTTAGAATAATTCAAAATATAATAAACATATTCTTCTTTCATTTACATATATTAAATATGATCATTAAAATATTGGGTTTTTTTGGCAAAGATATATTAAAATCAAGAAGTAAGCATTTTATTGTGACTGCCGTGATACAAATAATAATTTCAGTTTTTCCGGTTTTGTTCTCTTTCAGCTGCATAGATGAATGGTTTGAAGTAAATAGATCATGCCCTGAGCACCCTTCAGATTAAGCATCAGATTCCTGTTTTATAGGTAATTCTCTAATTTTTGTTTTAATTGCTTTTTAAAGGGTTATCCTGAATTATACATTCTCTACCATGGTTTTTATTCATTCACTTATTCATTGAGGTGTGTGCATGTGCACCTGTGTTTGCATATTCCAGACACTCTCTTAAGCTATTGTATAGAAAAACTCACATTAACAAAAATTTTTAAAACCACGTTCTTCATTCCTGACTAGTCATGTGTTGAATAATTGTTATATTCTTGGTACTTTAAAAACATATTTGTCCAGTTGACTCCATGGTTAAAGGTAGCTGAATCCCACATGCTTGACTATATGGTTCAAGTCTTAGACCTGATGGCTTGAGAAACACTCCAGGCATATGTCTGTGTGTGCCCAAAATCCCAACAGGAGTGACAGATGGAGGAGAAGGGATTGTGGTGCGACTATTCCTTGTGGGGGACTTTCTGCTCTCCCTCTCTTTCTGTCCCTGTGTTTCTCTCTGACAAGTACATGTGTCCTCTAGCAAAGAGAATTTTTTTTTTTTGAGAGGTTTTTGCTATAAGGGCATGTGCGCTTGCCAGAAAGACAGAGACAGAAAGAGAGAAATCATCCCCCAGGGGATAGCCACACCACAATCCATTCTCCTCCATGCTCTTCTCAGGATCTTGGGCACACACGCACATGCGCCCAGCATGAATTTAAGCCACTGGGTCTGAGACTCGAACCGCGATCAACTATATGGGAGTCGCAACATAGCCATTATGCCAACTGCGGGTCCCTGTTTTTTTTTTTTTTTTAAGACAGATTTTTGCTATAGGGCATGTGTAGTCACTGGAGAGACAGAGGAAAGTGAGAAATCACCCCTCGGGAAGATGGCTGTGCCACACAGTCCCTTCTCCTTCATTCTCCTATTGGGATTTTGGACACACATGTGCATGCGCTAGGCATGAGTTTCAAGCTGCTGGTTCAGGACTTGAACCACAGTCTTTTATGTGGGAGTCCAGTGACATAACCATTATACCGTCTGCTGGTCCCTCATCGTTTTTTTTTTTTTAATGTCTAATCGGCGTTTTTATTTTTTCCCAGAGGACAGACAGTTCTTTAGTCCTTAAAGACTCAGCTCCTTACATGGGTTTTGGTGGTGGGCGAGGGGCAGCATCTGCAGGTTTAAATTGGGTTGGAAGTGTTCTGTCCTTGCGAGCTTCACGAGATCAGTTCCTGACTACCTTGCTATGAATAGCATAGCTCACACAGTAATGTAGCTTCACATACAGCCTGGGGAGCACATAGGTATCAAAGACACTTGCTTCCGAGATGTCCCTGACAGCTGCGGCCTCTATGTTTCGGATGACAAACTTCTTAATAGCCTTGTCCTTGGGCATGCGTCAGGCACAGTTCATGCAGCAGATAGGCTGCACACGGCCACGGCCCTTTGTGGTACGACCGTTGTTCCTTCTTTTCTTCGTCGTCTCGGAAGCGAGACCGCGAGAGCCCCTCATCATTTTTTAAAGTTTGGTTATTCAGAGAGAGAAGGGCGTGGGCACACACACATACACACATACCAGGAATGC